TGTTTTAGCCTACTGAAGAGTTCCCTGCTGAGCCAAGCTGGTCTTATGCCATACTTGCTAGTCTTTCTGCACATTGGGATGCCCCCAGTAGCTGCAATCTCTATACAGAACAAATAATTAAGGTCCATATTTTCCCCAGTTGTAAAGAGCTCCACCCATTCTTATAGTCAGTTTGGGAGTTAGGCATGTCAGAAGGGTGATCCAAAGTGTCTAGGCCATCAGCATGGAGCCATCCATATAATTAAGAATTAGGAAGCCAACAGGGGTGTGTGGATTATCACACTTTTTCAGAGTTTAGGACCCAAGCTTAAGGCTGTAATGTCCATGTTCCATCATCTCTGGGTATGAGTAAGCTCATAACTGACTTATGGTTAGCAGCACTGAGTTTAGTACAAAGTCCAGTGCCTAACGTTATTCTACTCAGAAAAAAAACACAGCCTGTGGTTCTATGTCCATCTACCTTTTGCATAAAAGCCTTGCTTGCAATATGTACTGTGAGAGTTGAATCTCTGATTTGTTGAGAAGATTCCAACCCACATCACCCTCTTCTTGGAAAAAGTAACCCAACCACAAGCCTATGGAAGAATTTTGGTGTGGCACTCTAGCCATTCCTATTGAAGATGGACCATTGTGTGGCCATGACAGCAACAGTGAGAGGAACCCAAGTGTAACCCCTCCCAGGCTTCCATTAATGTTACTTTTATTTTGTATTACATGTGCCCTTTTGACCAGTTGACAGTAGGAAGTGTTTATGTCCTCTTAGGACTGATTTGAGTATAAATGCAAAAAAGATATATTTTTCATCTGTGCTTACTTGTACCTAGACTGACTTGGCCATTTTTCTTTTTTTTCAGTAGGTAGTAGTGATTACCTTGTGGACTGAAGGGGTGCGAATTGTGTCCAAGCTATCTAACAGTGACATAATTGCTTGGTGACTTTTCCTCTCACTTCTAAGCTAAACATCACAGGCCTGTCTCTGTTCTAAAGCTTACCCACAGAGGGTCATTTGGCAGGGGGTAAGTGATCAGCTCTGGTCCTATTCTAATCTTGCAGTCTGCTGACATCACATGTAAAGGTCTGTTTAATGGCAGTGCAGAAGGCTCAAAGGAATATGCCTCTCCTATTTTAGAGTCTTTCCTTCCTCCCTTTCTTCCATGAAAGCACTGTGGCTGTTTTCTTCCTCATACCTAAATGAATGTCAGCCCAGGTACAAGATGGCAGTCCAGACACAAGATAATAGCTTATATTTATCCATCCAATTTTGAGTTACAGTTCCTAAGGTTCTGGATTTTTCCTACTAAACTTATTTAGACTGTAGTATGCCTTAAACTGCTTAATGATGATAAAGGGCACATCTACCTGAGACTTTTACTGTGCAGCTGCCTAATTAACTCTGCAGTAAACTTCTTGGTGTCTACACATAAAGTTCTATTAGGACAGAGTAAACTAATTTACTTTGCCACAAGATAGTACTTGTATATACAAGCACTATCCTGAGATGGAGTTATTTACTCCACAGTGGGTGCATTTACATGAGACGCTTACTGAGCAATAGCCTAATAACACTGTGCAGTGGTGTGCTGGGCAAAACCTATGCTAATACACTACTGTGCAGTGTTATTAGGCTATTGTGCAGTAAGTGTCACTAAAAACCCATGCATTGGTGCTACAGTGCAGTGGCGCGAGTTATTCCACATTGATTTAGTACTTGGTTATCCAGGTACCAAACTTAATGTGCAGTAACTATGGCTCTAGGTGGAGGGAGAAAAAATGTATGCACACTCAGCCTCCCTGCAAATGGGGCACAGGATGGAGCTGTGAGTGGTTTGTCTGGGGGGCACCTGGCACGAGGAGGGGGTTGCAGTTTCCGCCACTATGGGCACCCTGGGAGGGCATGGGGGACATGTGCTGAGGCAGGTGGTCTCTTTCCGGTGGGGCCCTAGGCCAGGCTTTGCTTGAGGTGGGTGGCAGCAGTGCTGGGCGGGGAGGTTGGGGGGCCTAGAGTGAATTTTGGGGTGGCTGCAGCCCCCTTAGAGCACCCCTCCCAGCACCACTGCTGCCCACCCTGAGTGCAGCTCAGGCCAGACCCCCATCAGAAAGAGCCTGCCTGCTCCAGCTGCAGCCCACAGCAGCAGCCCACCTCCCCCTACACAGATCTGGGGGCACATACCTCCCATGCCCTCCTGGGGTGTGCGCAGTTGCAGGAGCCACCATCTCCTCCCTGCACTGAGCGCCCCATGAACAAACAACTTGCGGCTCCATTTTGCTCCCCAGCCTCAGCCCACCCCCAATCCCTCTGCGCCTCTGCTTCAGCTGCCAGAAGCCTGCAGCCAGGCTACCTTGCAGACTTACTGCTTCCCTGTGTTGGTGGTGGCTAAGCCCCATTAGCCTCCCCCTTCCACCACCTATGACTACAGCACATTAAAGAATGTGTAGATGTGGCCAGTAGCACACATATAGATGTTGACACGGCTGGCTGGGACACAAGAGTGCTTTAGTGCAGGGGATGCCTGTCAGCTAGCCCTGCATTGGAGCATCCTTGTGCCTCAGCCATCCCCTCCATAGCACATTGAGCTGACTCAAAGCAGCCCAAGGCTAGCAGGCTCACCCCCTGGGCCCGCTGCCAGCTGGGGTTACTCCGACCTGGCTCAACGTGCTGCAGGCCTGGTCACATACTTAAACATGATGTCTGGGAGCTATATACTCTGGCATGATGTGCAGCAGAATTTATTGCTGTGTGCTAATTGCACATGTAGATATGCCCATAGTGTAGCAATTGCTTGTATCTGTTTGACCAGAGCTTGTGTGTGATAAGAAACAAGGTAAATGAGCACAAGAGAGAATGTCAGCCCTGAGACAGAAGGTGCATAAAAAAATGTCAAAAGAAGTAATCTGTAGGTCATATAGAGTTCTTTTAGTGGTTTTATACCAGTTAGACCTCGTTTAGGGTAAGGGACAGTTTAAATAATGGATAAAAATAGGCATTTCTATCTAAGTAGCAAGGAATCCATTTTTATTCTATTAAAAAGTTTGTATTAATATTAATTGGGATATAACCTATTAGGTACATTTCCATATGCACTAGCCTTATTTAGGTATTGTTTTTTTATGTTGGGCCAGGGTACTGAACATAAAAATTCAGGACCTTTTTGAATTTTGCTCTTCAGCCTACCATTCCAGTTCTTCCTGAATTGTGCTCCATCAGGTGAACAAAAGTTAGCACTTCTTAAAATCTAGGGAAGAAGCCATATTCTCTAACTAGCTGGCCATCATTTTAAGTTTTTGAAAATTTAAGATTAATTTATTCCAAATATTTTAAGCCTATTATCTCTTCAGGTATTTTTTTTTTCATTTGTAATCATTTGCTTGATATGCCTTTTCTATAATAATCAGTCTTTTATATATTATCTCTATTTCACTGTTAAACATGCTACTAACATTTACTTACATTTATTTTATTTTGTATTTCATTTTGATGGTAAAAGCTCTTCAAGCATATCATGATTCACAGAATACTTCTGGGGTCAAAACTTCTGACCTGAGGAAAACTCTCATAATTTTGGAGGAAAATAGCTTTCTTCTGGTCATTAATCAGGGACAAAAAGGAATGGAACAAGTTTCCTAATGATCAACTTGTTTCTCATATTTGAGAATGGAAACAATATTTGAGAGACAACCCCTGCTTTTTAATACCAAAAGACTTTTATTATGACAAAGGCTAAATTTGGATTATATAGAGAGCTTCTCAACTTGCTTCTCTTATTTTTTCAGGATTTTATGCTTTCCCAATTATTTTTATCATCACCCTCCATTTTAGCTTATTTTTATTGCACCAATTTTCTTTTAATTCACTATGCTTTTTGCTGTTTTGTATAACATTGATGCGTAGCTGTACCTAACCTCTATAAAATCCATGCTCATCTATTATGCTTCTCCATAACAAATGGGGAAATGAGAATTTGAAAGAAGACGTGCCTCTGCCAGTGCTGGATTACCACATGCTGAGGCCCTAAAATATGCCCATTTTAAGAGACCCCATATGATAAAAATAATCCATTAAATCCACAAAAATGCATTTTCATGAAATTTTAAGATGAATTATTATTGTTTCTGAACAAATTTATGAACTCAATCTTCATAATAACCTTGCAACCATCTATGTGCATATTTTCCAAAAGGAAAACAAAGAGAACCTTCTCCTTTTAGATTGTGAGGTCCCAATCTGTAGCCTAAATAGCTTCCGACTAAATCTGGCAGTGGCCTCTGCCAAGTAACACAACAGAATACATCTGTTATGGGGAAACATAATATTATTGTTAGTGCCTTTCCTTCATGGGATCAAAAAAAATTTCCACACCAGTTCTAACATCAGCAGAATCAAGTCTTCCCTCAGAATTACAGAACAGAAAAAGTTGAGATGACCTATAAGTGTGTCTGTTTTTTTTATAACATATTAGATCTATTTCAATACCCATCATTCCAGTTTCTATGTATACACAGTAGGCATTTATATCTCTATGCATGTATATCCACTGGGAACAACTGGCCTGTGGCACTGACCATTCATTATCACTGGCCATCATGTTACCTGCATGGAGATGCATGTTTAAATTCCATCTTGTGGAAAGAGAGAGAACAGCATCTAAATCTCATTCTGTGCCCTAACCATTAGGCTTTCATCTAAAAGGAGAAGGTTCTCTTTGTTTTCCATTGGGAAAACATGCACCTGGGCATCTTATCCTGCCAGGAGTGAAAGTTGACTCTACAATTTGAGCTAGTATCAAAAGTATCACTTACACATATATGTTAGTGCCACTTAAGCATATGCAGGTGAGCTAGAATTTGTCTCATTATATTTACATACATGAATTCATATGTATGAACTGTGAGCAATCTGCCTGTGTATCTAGATCTATCACAACACAATATCATTGGACTATGGTAACACTTTGTCCATGTTGCCCTTACCTATAAAGATTTTTTTTTTTTAAATAGATTACTCAGTGAAAAAACACCTTTTTATTGATTGCTCTCCATAGGGCACCTTTCACTTCCTTATTCCTAAGGCTGTAGATCAGGGGGTTCAACATGGGGATAACTACGGTATAGAAGAGTGATGCTATTTTGTCCGTATCCAAAGAATAGCTGGAGCTTGGTCGAAAATAGGTGAAGATCAGAGTCCCATGGAAAATAGTGACTGCAAGCATGTGGGAGGCACAGGTAGAGAATGTTTTGCGTCTCCCTTCAGCAGAACGGATCCGCAAAATGGTACGCACAATGTACACATAGGAAACTAGAATGGTCAGGATGGTGACTGCTTCAATACTGCCAAAGAAAGTGAACAGCATGAGCTCAGTGAGGTGAGTTTCAGAGCATGAGATGGTTAGGAGAGGAGGGATATCACAGAAGAAGTGGTTGAGTATATTAGACCCACAGAATGACAACCGGAAAGTAAAATACGTGTGAATCAAGGAATCCAGAATGCCCAAGAAATATGACCCCACTACTAATTGGATACAGACTTTCTTGGACATAACAACTTTGTACAGCAGCGGGTTACATATTGCCACATAACGGTCATAGGCCATGGCAGCTAACAGAAAGCACTCAGTATCACACAATGCTGCAAAGAAGTATAATTGCAAAACACAACCACTATAAGATATGGCTTTGTTCTCTGCTAGGAAATCCATTAACATCTTAGGTGCTATGACAGTGGAATAACAAATATCTACAAAGGATAAATTACTGAGCAGAAAGTACATAGGGCTATGAAGCCTAGAATCAATTTGAATTAACAGGATCATGCCGATATTGGTCACCAGGGTGATAATATAGACTGCCAGGAATGTTATAAAGAGGACAACCTGCAGTTCTTGACAATCTGTGAATCCCAAGAAGATGAACTCAGTTGCCTGGCTGTCATTTTTCCCTTCCATTTCTTCAGTCTGTCTCTCCTCCAGTGTTGAGCTCAGACAGGAAAGAAACTGTGGATCTTAGTTGATGTGCATGGGTGATGTGCTGAAATAATTTCCGATTATGATAATTTCTGCTGATGTGCAGAAATAATTTCATGACAGAAATTATTTCTGGCTCATCTGTAAATAAAGGAGAAATTGAATAAACAAAGACCACATTTACCTATTCAACTCACACTTCTGCTCAAGAAAAAATGCACCTCTTTGGACTAAATCCATCTTAAAAACATAATTTGAATATTTGAGTACTAAGAAATCCCAGTAATGGTCAGGAAAGTTGTTGGAGGGTGGGAGGTCTTCCTATATTAGTCACTTGGAGAAAGATACTGGTTAGATTCTGATAAATTATTCTGGTATGGTAGGACAATGCTAGCTTATTGGAAACAAATACATTGCATGTAATTAATAGAATGATGAACAGAGTTAGACCTACAGACCTGGTTAATTTCTGAGGTGCATATCTCAAAATATAAATATATGAAATGAAGAGTGGACAGATGATATTCTGCCTCATATATGGGCAACAGTGTTCCAAAGGAACAGCAACAGATGCAGAATTATGGGTAAATGCCAGCAATGGCTGTGATATTAAATCCACATGAAGGAGCATATTCAAAGGTCAAAGGTAAACACTTAGTTAGGGGGCACCATTCTGCTTTTCTTTGTACAATGCATTCTGTAGCATAGAATGTGTGGGGTTTCCAGAAGAAGCGAACTGTGTTGAACTTAAAACGCAATCGGAGCTGTTTGGATATGGTGGGATATAACTCTAACAAAGAAATAAATAAAATCCAGAGCCACCTTTCCACTTAATTTTAGATGCATCTTCTTATCAGATTCATCCTGTTTGCAGTCTATATTGAGGCACAGCTCCAAACAGTCTTCAGGAAAAAAAATATACAGAGTACATTGAGAGCCTCAATACAAGCATCAAATCCCCCACATATATAACATGTTGTAGCTGACTGATTTTAACCACAATATCCAGATAAACACTAGCTGAGGATCCAACCCATTGCTCTATTTGAATCAATCCATTGTGAATGAACAGGCGTCCAGAACCAAATATAAATCAAACATTTAGCTGACCCTGGCAAGTACAATTTATTTAAGCTTCATCCAAGAGTCTGGAACCTTGCTATTTCCATGTGCAAAACACCCTCCCACTCTAGGAACTGCTGATTTGGTGACTGTAGGTGTTCTTATACCTGGTCTCATTACATTTGCAAACTGGAAGCATCTCTGGGGACAGTAGAAGTAATTAAGAAGTGCCTGCTAACTCGGGGGAGATGATGTTTTCTGTTTTTCTCTGTTCCTGTGCTTTTGACTAATAGAAGCTTTGAAGCTCATCTATACAAATGTAAAGTTTCATCCAGTCCCAAACCATTACAAGTAGGCAAATTTGCTCTCATTTTCACTATTTTTCTTACTTGAACACTGATGAATATGCATTCAGCAACTGCTAGCCAGAGTTGAGGTGGAATGTCTTCAAGGCCTATCAGCTTTCTTGCACAACCAGATACAGTAATTTCAAACAACAATTGTTAGAAAGCAATAATGAGGATAGAGGAATGTTTCTGTAAAAAAATAATAATACCCAAAGAACCTTGTCTGCCTCTAAAATATAGGAATTTTCAGGAGTCACTGTCCCCCCAGACTCCCAGGATCTCCATCTAACTGTATGAAGGTCATTCAACTTTGCTGCTTCTTGATGCTCCAAAAGTGTTTTCCTTTCCCATAAATGCTTAACAATATGGGTTTTTATTGACTTCTGCTAATGATTATTAGTGTGTAATAGTAAGGGCTTTGCTTAATGCTCATAGCAAGAGTTTTGTATACTGACTCCATAGTAGGCTGGTATTATAGCACGTAGCTTTTTGCTGTGTGAGAGTGACCGAACCATGAACCTAGATAGTAGAATGTTGTAATACAGTGGAATGTGGTAAACACCAGGTGTGTTGGATCACGACTCATCCCCGAATTCTTAGCTTGAGATAACCGAATCCCTAGCTCGAGATAACGTTATTTACTCCAGTCTATATAAGCTGCACATTCTTATGTTACGGGAGTTCCTCACACTCTGCCGAGAATCCTGACTTGCACAGAGCCTGGTGCAGGCTATCACATCCCTGGGATTGAGACACTCCAGGGCCAGGGGAACTATGCAGAGTAGCGGCTGCTGCCTAGAGCTGATGTGAAGTGATCATCGTCTCTGCTCTACCTTATTGCCTGCCTCTGCGAGTATCCTTAAATAAAGCTTTGCAAGAGTGAGAACAATCATGAGTACGTCCTTTGTTCAAGCGGGGGGAATCTTCTGAACCCACTAGTTCATTCTAAGACAAATGTCAGTATCTAGAGAAAGTTATCTGTAACAAACTATGGTTAGATAACGTTAAGGACATAAGGCATTTTTATAGCACGTGGATAAATCATCATTTACTTCTTTACTACTATAACTGGGAAGTCATGGACATATCTTGACATTCACTACAATATAGTGTACATATAGGCATATCTAAGATTTATTAAAGTGCGGGAGGTGTGTGGCATGGTATCCCTTAGACCATGGTAAGAATGGGAGTAAGAGATGGCTAGATACCAGGAAGCTAGCAGAAAGAAGGCACAAGTAAACAAACAGCAATCTACAGGCTGGCAGAGTTCTAGCCTGCAAGAGCTACTTGCAAACAGTCAGGAAACTATAAGTCAGAGGCAGCCACAGAGCCTGCCTGATTTGAGGGCATGCGTGTATGTGGGTGTGGGGTGGGTCTGGGGACTGTATGGGTGTGGGGATTGCGGGTGGGGTGTTATGTGCATGTGGGAACTGTGTGGGTGACTCTAATTGTTGCCTTTGGAAGCAACCGGTTATAGCTTCCCGTCTGTCACCAACCATTTTAGGCTAGATGAGTCCCCAGTTTGATCAGTCATCCAGATACCGATGGCACTGCACTTTCTCCATCCTTCAGGAGGATCTATCCATATAAGTCATCCAAACTGTATTGGAATCATTTGATGACACGCACATTCCCATCCTGTGCCCAAGGCCCTGTGACTTGGAGAATAACCACTACAAATGGTATTCATTTTTGTATTTATTATGTTGTGGGGATCCATGGAGTATAGGATCAAGCTCATGTACATGACCACTAGGGTGGCCATCACAGAAGACAGTTGGGTTGTCCTCTGTCTTCTATTGATACAAAACTGGATGCCTTTATGTCCTCTGTTTTTCTCTTGAAGAGAAAAATAGAGGACATAAAGGTGTTGGGTTTCATATTAATAGAGGACAGAGGACAGAGTAGCACAAAACTGGAATATTCTGTATGATGGCCACCCTAATGACCACTGAGGGTGACATTTGATTAGGTAATGCATAATGCAAGAGAGGTGGCAGAGGGCTATGGTAACCAGAAGGAAGGGGTCAAATAGGTACCAGAGAGGTGACTGAGGGACTTCCAAGGATATTACCTGCAGTTATGTTTAAGGTACTCAAGCTAGCTTTAGGAACCTTTGGGAGGGAGCAGGGGCTAGATTAAGGATTAAAGGTGGGATCTAGGAGGGAAAAAGAAAAGGTTTAGGACAGACTGAGAATCCAGGTATGGAGTAGGAAAGGTGTGTAGCTATCCAGACAAGAGTGGGAAATGCAAGGGACCCCCAAGGACAACTGTGGATTGATGTACACTGGGCTAGATGGTAAGGTGGGAGTACTGAGGGAGAAAGGGCAGAGTAAGTGGGACTCAAAGATTTAGCAGCAATTGGGATCATGTGATCTTGAGATCTTGGTTATCTATGCGGTGCTCTGCAATTTCTCTCTGGGCATACAACATGCTGAGACTAATGTCCTGTGTATGCTTGTGAGGGAAACTGAGGGAGGAGGGCTACAGCTAGGCAGTGCTGTTCCTACACCACATCACAGCAGGGACGATGCATAGGGGTTGCATGGGGGTGCACATGCACCCCTTGAGAGTGCTGATGCACCCCCTGTAAGGCCCAACCCCAGTCAGTGGGACCAGCTGCCACCCCCCCACCCCCGCCCCTCCGGATCAGTGACTGGTGTCAGGAGGCACCAATAACCCATGCATCACAGCTCTCCTTCTGAAGGTACTAAACACAGGAACATCTTTGGTGTCTCAGGCAGAGACCATGGAAACCATAACATAAAGATAGGCATACCATAAAGATGTTCCTCTTTCAAGGCACCCAGTATCTCCCTGAACCACAGACTTGCTGGCTTGTTCTTCTCCCCCTGGCCACATCTATCTTCTTCCCTTGAGCGTGTAGTGGAGCAAGTTGAAGAAAAGGCCTGAGGAAAGATATGGTCAAGGTCTTCCCCTTTTCCTGCTCCTTAGAATATCCTAGCAGAAAGTGAAAGCTGTGGGTTAAAACCTTTCCTGAGTTAGGGGGCCTAGAATCCATACCTGCTCCCTGAGGAATTTTTATAAACATTGAATTGTTGGGCCAAAATATATGAGGACCTTCCTACATTTGAGTTCCAACAGGTGCATGCACTAGACAAATCTATTTTGGCATAAAGCAAAACAGAATCCTAAATTGTGAATAACTGCAAAAAATTATAGTTACATGGTGGTATACATGCATCTCGGCACATGAAGTAAAGTAACATTTTGTGCCATGTAATCTTACAACAGTGATGTTTTAAAAAAGATAATGTAATATTACATTTTTTTGCACCTTCCTCCCAGTATGCATGGAAAAAGCAACCAAGCGATTATCAATTGTTTACTAAACAAAACTGTACAACTGGAGACCACAGAATAGTGTTTTTTTTTTACAATGTTTCAAAGACCAAAGCTGCTGTTGTAAAAGTGTTATTCTTATATCAATGGGCTGAATCTCAGAACTACGGCAAAAGAGTTTACATGAATTGGTAGCAAACAACCTACACTAACTTTTCTAACTTTTAACAGAATAATTTAGAATCATATTCAAAGAAATTCAAGGTG